TTATCAGCCGAACCTAAGTATGTAAGTTTTGAAAAAAACAAAAAATGCAGTAGTAGCAGAATTAATGATAATGGGTTTAAAAACCACGTTAAAATTAAAATAAAAAATGGAGCAAAACAGAAAATTTTAGAACAAAAGACTTAACAATGAGATCTAGAAAGCTGGTACCTAGTATATGGCGGAAAAATTTACTATTAATCCGGCAAAACATGGTAATGAATTGTATTTACTGAAGAATTTACATTTCAATGGCTGCTACATACCGCCTGCATTACTTAGAAGAAGTTTAGTAATGACTTACAAATAACTATACATATTTTGTTTTCGAAAGTTTATGCAAATGAAGCTGTTTTTTCCCCTCAAAAACCAAACTACTTGCTTAAATCCTTTTTTGCCGTCGATTGTAGTAAGTAGTAACCTAACTCCCTACTTGTAAGCGAGCGCGGTAAGAACTTGCATCCAATGTCATCACTGCGTTAAAATATGTAATGACTTAAAATGCTATTGTATAAGTAAATTGTAAAATTTTAACCAATGCAAGTTTTTGCTGGGAATATTTAAAAAAAAAGAATCTGTATAAAGTTTTGAAACAAAAACATGTGTATATGAAACCACTGTACTGTTATTGGCATGTTAGGAGAAGTAGAGATGAAATATTAGTTGTTTGTTATTAAAAATTGGCCAAATCAATATTTTGCCAATGACACCATTAATAAATATTTATTTGTAAACGAACCCACTGTGCGATCTTTAGCATCCTTCAGTTTAAGAAGCAATATAAGGGTTAAATAAAGGTCAAAATCTAAGCAAAACTAATTTGCAAATTGTATTTATATTTCAAGAAACCATTTTGCAGTCAATACAATTAATATTTCGGCTAAAAGGTGCTTGCAGTAATTGCCAACTAGTTAGTTTTGAAATCAAAATTCCAACATTTTTAATTCATAAACATTATTTACCAAAACGGAAGAAACAACATTTAATGGCAAAATAATGAATAAATAAACACAGACACATAATAAAAAGCAAAAAGAAATAACAACAAGAATAAGATGAGAATTGAAATAAACAAAAAAAAAAAAATAAAAAAGTCAAGAGAATTTACTGCTACAAAAACTACATACAAGCAACAAAAAAAAAGAAAATACAAATTTTAGTTTTTATGGTGAAATGAACAGTACGAATTAATCTTGAAAAACAAAAACAACAAAATGGAAATAGCATAAATTTAATCCGAACGACGACCAACCAACACTACGTATGTGGAAAATTTTTTCGCTCAACATTTGCATGTGGCTTATACGCACACAGACAGTAAATACTGCGAGCAAAAGCAAAAATATACAAAAATAAAAGCGAAAAAAAAAAACAAAAAATTCTAACAACCAGTCTGTCACTCAGTCATTCATTTCAACCATTTCTTTCATCTTTCTATAATAAAAGCAAACACTTTGTGTATAGAGTATAAGCTAAATATTTATACATATGAATGCTCTCCCTAAAACTATGCAAATGAGTCATGACTCACTAATAAAAAAAAAGAAACTCCAAAGAAAAGAGAAAATATTTTCTTTACACACAACTCCCCATTAGTGAGTTGGAGTTGTAAATATGTAAAACTTAGCTTTTAAAAAAATAATCCCTTTGAACATGTTCATTTCATTACAGAGAGAGAGAGAGAGATAGACAAACTGAATGAATATGTGTGACACTTATTGACAACGATGATGTTGACGATGTCTCAGTTAAAACGCATGTGTGCCTTTTTTGTAACATTTATTTCCGAAAGTTAATTGTAATGAAATAGTAAAATAAAGCAAAAAACCAAAAGATGACAAAAGGTTAAGAAAATAAACTAAACTAAAAACAAATTTAACTTATACATATACAGACAAACGGACATATGTAAATATATGTATATAAACATACTAACATGTATGTATTTCAACATTTAACATTATTATTTTGTTGTTGTTGTTGCAGTTGTAGTTTGTTTTTTGCCGTTGTCCCATTCATACGATAATTATAATCACACTTTGGCGCCCATTATCTCGTGGGTAATCATCACATTAAAACTCGCACTATAGTATAGTAGTATTGAGAGGCCCTTTTATTTGTATTATTTGCCATTCACAGAATTTTTCTTCATTTTAATTCAGTACTTTTTTTTTTGGACTGTGTGTGTTTGTCTGTCTTTTAGACTTTATGTGTCTTTGTTTTTTGTATTTGCTTGTATTATTCAATATATATCAAGTCATCGATATAGTTTTTTTTTTTTTTTTTGAAAATGAAAACATGTGTATACATGTGTAGCCTTTAATGCACAGTGTTTTAGAGGGAATTTGAAATTTATAATGTTAATGTTAAACAAGGCGTTTCTAAGTATGGGGCTCCGTAGGCATTTTCCTTAACTTTCAGCATAACCACAATAGGTAAAAGATAAAACTTACGGCCAAGGATTCATAGATTATTATAGACATAACACACTTTCTTGTGTCGACAAAGCAGTTCTGTTTGAGATGATCATGGAGGATTCTTCTAAACAATGTGGTTGGAATCTCCATTGTTCTGTCGGAGATTTCTGACTATTACAAGCATTTGTAGTCTTTGTATGCCTGAAAAGATTTACTGATCACATGATCCGTATGGATTACAAGTCTAATGTTTTGATCCGAATCTGATTTCTGATATAAAGGTAAATAACGTCTCGAATATGGCGAAAAACGAGGTATCTTCAAACTTTTTGTTAAAATACCTCAAAACTACAGAAATTCTAAAGTAGAATTTTGAGAAGCTCAATCCTATTAAAAGTGAGCTCTGTAACGATACGTATATCTTGCCCATCCCATATCATTCTTGAGTTATATCAAGTTTTTTATTAGGTGTATTTCTAGAATGGTAGAAGAGTTGGCTTTGCAAATCGCTAACAGCTTATAACCACAGACTATGTCATTTCATCATGGAGAGATACATGCTTTAAGAGCATTTATAAACTACTCGATTTGTTTTATCAAAGATTATGTTTTATTGAGACTTCAGATAATGAAGATCCCTTCAGACTTTATTCGATTCAGAACTTTATTAAAAAAAAAAAAATAATGTTAGGTGAAGTTTTTATATCGATGATCCATTTTTGCTTTTGTTGTGAAAACGACACGTCAAAAGGTCCTAGAAATTGGAATATCTTTATGATTTGCCGGACGCTAATAACTCTTGTGATATGTGGTTCTAATGGGGTGGAGCAACGCGTGATTCCAACTCTTAAGATATTTTTCATTAGGGTTACATTAAGTAACTGGTCTATGCCAAAATGTTTACAACGTAGAAGAGCTAAATTTGGACAATTTGTTTGCTTGAGTCTTAGAAAACTGACGTAATGAATGAATAAAGACCCTTTACAAAGCATGAGTTATAAATGAAGAACAATTATTGTAAAATTTGGACAGGGAGACAGACATTTGGTTTTAGTAAGCTATATACCAGCTTCGCCCTGAAGACTCAAAAAACTTTGCTAAATAGTTCGAGCTTTTAGACTCCAGTGATCGGTTTTTCCTAAAGGAACAGTTTTCACCATAATATGCCTTATCTCTCCAGGTTTCCTTTACGTCCTTCGCAAGTAGGCTATCGATCAATCACATCTCAATTACAGTTACCACCTACATGTTCGTCGAATTGTTTGAAAAGGCGTTTGCTGATAAACAATAGCATTGGTAGTTGCCGAGGAGAATAGTAGCCTTTATGGCCGTACATGAAACCTATCGATCGACTACTGTTATCCAAGCACTTGTTATCTAGCATTGCGTGTGACGCACAATTTTTGAATTCAAGTGAAAACTGGCCACAGATCTTTAATGTCATCCTACCTTCCTGGAACAACTACTCTAATCCAAGTACTTGTTACCTACCATAGCGTGTGACCTACAATTCTTGAATCCAAGCGAACGCTGGCCACATCTCTCTAATGTCATGAACACTGAAGCTCTAATGTCATGAACACTGAAGCTTGAACACTGAAGCCAAAATGCATAACATTTCCCTGAACATAGACTGCATTGCAGAGCAGCGACTGAAATGGATCAATTGCCATGAAGAACAATGCGTTCTCTCGATCACTTTTTAATCAACATTCATTTCATGCGATTAGATTAAGAAAAGTACCCCAAGTGTGGTACTGCTAGTGTCGATATTGCTGTAACACGTCTATAAAAGTTCTGAGAAATGCATTTTCGTATTGCTAATGTCGCGTTTTTGGCGATTTATTGTGGCAGTCAGTAAGGCCCCATTTTAATTGCTTTTTAACGCTTTCATGAATGTTTTTTGCAGTTATTATACCCAATTTTTAACGAAATGTTCACCTAATTATCGACGCTTTCAATTTCCCCTGCAACCACTGTAGTTAACACAAAAAATTAACACTTTGTTGATATCTTCTCAACAATTTCTTGTGCGCTGGGTTGCATGCATACGCGTACAATAATGTTGTTGTATTTTTGAAAAGAAAAAAAAAAAACGAAATGTTGTTGTATTTGTTGCGACTTTTACTGTTCGCATTTTATGCTGTTTTAAAATTGTTGCTGCTGCTGCTGCTGCTAGTTGGCTCATCGCTCTTTTTACAATTTCCGCTGCTAGAATATCAGCTAAACCGGACCAATATAACAGACAGACAGACAAACTGTCAGTTAGTCATATGGCCTATAAGTTTTAGGGACGGTCAGTTTGACGTTTAGTTGGGAAAACGTAAAAACCTTCTTAACAGCAACCATATAGCCAAACAGCCAGCCAGACGAATGAACGAACAATCTACAACTTAGCTAGTAGCTGCTAGTTAGCAAGCAAGCAGCAGCAATAATACTCTTCAGTCATTTTTAGGCAGTCACAAGGAACGGTTGGTTGTTGGGATTGTGTTTTTTTTCTGCGCTGTGAAATTTAAACCCACAGTTTGTAAATCAACTTGAGGCCGTAAACAACATCGGTCGGTATTTTTTTTTTTCTTATTATTATCAAGCGATTTCGTTCGCTCTCTCTCTTTCTTTCACTCTCTTACCATACGCTGCTGTTAAATGTTTAAATATATATATTTATGTATATAAAAATATAAAAAAAAGAAACTAAATATTAAAAAAAAAAAAATAAATAAAATAAAAAAACGCGGTCTATAATCGCTTTAGCTGGTATCGCATGCTCGATTTAAAGTTGTGGTGTTGTTGTATATAGTCTTAAACTGTTGAGTAAGAAAAACTAAAGATTTTTATAATTCTTTGGCAAGATTTACGAATAAAACAAAAATAATTTACGGCCGGGTTTTAAGATAACTGTAACAATTAAAAGGCGACAAACTTTCGCTTTTCAAATACTCGGCCTTTTTTTCCTTAGTTTACACCATTTCTTGGAATAAATTAATTAGAATCGGGTGTCTTTTTTTTTTAAATAGATTCTTCTCGAATTTTATATGTATGTTTGTATAAAATTTCAAAACAAACAAATAATGACCTCGAATTTTTTTCTTTTAAAACCACAAACATGTTTTTTTCGGTTGTTTGTTTTTAAATATTAAAGTCTAAAATAAATTTAAAAAAAAAACAGCAGTTTTATTTCAAGTTTAATTTGTTTAAATTCTTGCTAAAAGAGAAATGGTGTAGTGGTATTTAAATATAATTCTTTTTGGTATTTTATGTGCGAGTTTTTCTTTTGTTCTCATTAGAAGTGGAGTACATCGAGGCGTTAGGCGCTTTTGGAATAAAATCTCACGCGTCTTTTTTGTTGTCTGTCGTGGCGTATGTGTTTTATAAATGCGGTTACTTGCGTTAAAACGGGGGAAAAAAATAATGATAAAAATAAAACAGATAAATTATAAAAATAAAGCATAAAAAATAAAAAATATATATAAAAAAACTACATATAAACGTGTATATATGTTTAATATTATAAAACAAAAAAAAAAAAAAAAAATTATAAAAAAAAACACTCAACAAAATTAAATCTACATATAAGTGAACAAGATTTAAAATTTAAATACGAAAAACAACTGATTTTTTTATGCATAGAATTATCTGCTGTTATATATACATATAAATAAATAATACTTTTAAATTTTTGCTGTATTTGTTAAGAACAAATAGCACAAAAATACTTGTTTCATATATATTAATTTAAAAAATATATATAAATTTATTTATTTTTATTAATTTGCTTTAATAATTTTTTTATTTTCTTTCAATAAACTTTTCCAAAATAAACGCAAATAATAAACAAATAAAAAAAACAGCTAAAACTATAAAAACTTGAAAAAAAAACACTTTAAAATTAACTTAAACGAAAGTAAGAGGAACCTCTTCAGCGCCTGTTTTTTTTTAAATATTTCTTTCAAAATTACGCTCAAATAAAGGTAAGCATGAAAACAATTTAAAATATTAACTTTTCTTTTTGTTGTCTAATTTTTAAGTGGTTAAACTGGTGATAGTTGAACCAAGTTAGTCGTTGTCACTTACTACTTCAATAGCAAAAAGAGCAAAATATAAAGATTATCAATAGTAAAAAGAATGCATGTAATTATAAAGGGTGTAATCAATGTTTACACTGTTTCCGTAATATTTTTTTGCAATTGTTAGGGGCAGGCATGGAAAATTAAAATTTTGAAATAATACTAACTTATAACAAAAAGTGTACTTTTTTGGTTTTAGAGTATTGAACTAATTTTCCTCTAGACTAGACTATGGACTAGACTATGGACTAGACTATAGACTAGATTATAGTCTAGATTTTAGACTAGAATATAGACCAGACTATCGACTAGACTACAGGCTAGACTATAGACTGGAATATAGATTAGACCATAGACTAGACTATAGACTAGACTATAGACTAGACTATAGACTAGACTATAGACTAGACTATAGACTAGACTATAGACTAGACTATAGACTAGACTATAGACTAGACTATAGACTAGACTATAGACTAGACTATAGACTAGACTATAGACTAGACTATAGACTAGACTATAGACTAGACTATAGACTAGACTATAGACTAGACTATAGACTAGACTATAGACTAGACTATAGACTTGACTATAGACTAGACTAGACTATAGACTAGACTATAGACTAGACTATAGACTAGACTATAGACTAGACTATAGACTAGACTATAGACTAGACTATAGACTAGACTATAGACTAGACTATAGACTAGACTATAGACTAGACTATAGACTAGACTATAGACTAGACTATAGACTAGACTATAGACTAGACTATAGACTAGACTAGACTATAGACTAGACTATAGACTAGACTATAGACTAGACTATAGACTAGACTATAGACTAGACTATAGACTAGACTATAGACTAGACTATAGACTAGACTAGACTAGACTATAGACTAGACTATAGACTAGACTATAGACTAGACTATAGACTAGACTATAGACTAGACTATAGACTAGACTATAGACTAGACTATAGACTAGACTATAGACTAGACTATAGACTAGACTATACTAGACTATAGACTAGACTATAGACTAGACTATAGACTAGACTATAGACTAGACTATAGACTAGACTATAGACTAGACTATAGACTAGACTATAGACTAGACTATAGACTAGACTATAGACTAGACTATAGACTAGACTATAGACTAGACTATAGACTAGACTAGACTATAGACTATTCTAAAGAATAGACAACATTCTGTCTACTATATAAAAAGTTGGACTACTGTAGTACTGAATTTTCCATGCCTGGTTAGGGGTAGGGTTTGTAGACATTCAAATTAGCTTAACCCTTTTCTTTTAGCATATTCGCAAACATGCTTGTCATATGGATATTGAATTTCATAAAAAAATCTATGAAAAATAAACATAATTTTTTGTCTAATGCTTTTCTCTAGCATAGCTAATATACTTATTATGTCATTAAGTTTGTAACATTACTTATTTTAATGGAATGTATACAATTCTCAACATCAATACAAATTTAAAGGAAGCTTTAGAGTAACGGTTCCCAAATAGTGAACCATAGCAATATTTAAAGGGGTAGTCCGGGAGAAACTATAACATAATTGAAAGTCTCGAGCAGCACTATATTCGAATCTAGATTCAAAATTTATCCAGCACATGTTCGTTATAATTTGTCATAAAGTTTGAAAAAGAACATATTTAAGACGTTATAGCAGAGCAAAGACACCTTTATTTATAACATCTATTATATCATCTGAAAGTCCAATTTGTCGACTTTAAAATAAATGTTTAAGCTCTGTTATATCTTTTTCCTTTTTCTAGATATCTTAGCTTAAAGTTTGAAACAACTATAAATTCCTAAAAATTTAATATTGAACCTATTTTACAGCAAAAACTTCAACGGTAGATATCTCTGCAAATACATGAGATTTTTAAACAATTCAAAAAGTGTTTTATGGGTAAAATTATGACAAATTGTGACATATACATAAGTTTGTATTAAAATGTGTGCGAAATGTAGACTAATGTGAAATGAGGTGCTTAAAGCGCAAGCCGTTACGATATGGTCCTTAAACGTTAAAGTTCTCGCCATTATGAAGGTGACATTCGAACTTCAAAACTTTAGCTGGAGTCGCATCTAATGATTGTCCCGAAAGTTGATCAAATGTACGATGTCGTATTAAACTTGACAGACCTTGACCCTATGTTAGATGTTATAGAAATATAAATATGTATGGGAATCTTCAAGATTAGATAAATTTTTCAATGGGTTCGTAAAGTACAAAACGGTGAGAAGTCCAGCTTTAAAGAACTAATATACTTTCTTAGGAACAGGACTAGAAATAGTTGCTTTTCCAGTTACTTTTGTCAAGTTTGGAACTAGTTTTGAATATACATATTGAAAGAACTAGTTTCTAGAAAACTCACAAATCTTTCTAAAACTATTTCTAAAAGTAATGACGTTACTATAATTTTGATCAATCTGAAGTTGTTGTAGTTTTAAAAACAGTTATACATATTAGAGCAGGGAAGTGAATTTTCTACTTCTTTAAATCAAATTCTTTCTAAGTCCCAAATTGTCCTTTCTCACAGTTCATATATCATACATCAAGAAGAAAACAATATTTCACAATGTATTGTTGTGAGTTTACCTTATCTTTTCCTATAATAAATCGATTATGATAGCGATGTATTGGGAAATCATTTAAAAACAATAAAGTTGCGATTTAATACAAAATGTTCATTCTTTTGACATTATTCATCAAACGGTTAAATTTTAGATTAATTCCAGAGATGGGATAAATGAAGGAGCAAAGAAGTTTATAGAATTGCTGAAAAAGAGCTTAAGAATCGAAGTATTGTTCACAGACTTGTTTTATGACTTCCTATGCTCAACTTCAAAATTATTTCAGAAAAAACTTATTTGAATGCTATATTAATGAAGGAAATGTTTACGTGTTGAAATTCATCCATCATATCAAGTTTTCCAGATATCGTGTCATAAAGTTTGGAAAATCCGGTTTTTGGCTATATTTGAGACGCTATTACAGAAGATACCTTTATTTATCAAATATGTTATTGTCATCTCAAATTCAAGTCTTTCGACTTCAAAATAAAAGTTTAACCACTTTTATATCAAATTAGAAATTTTGACTTTTAGTTTTTTTTTTAATAAAGGCGAAATGAAGTAAAAAAATTAGTTTTTGTAAATTTATTGTTGTTCTAAACTTTAGATTAAGATATCTCAAAGAATGAAGAACATATAAAAGAGCCTTAAATCTTTATTTTAAAGTCGAGAGATTGGACTTTCACATGACATGTCAAATTTTATAAATACAAGTGTATTCGCGCAGTTTTAGCGACTAAAATATGACCAAAAAGGAGGGAGGGACTTTAAAACACGATATCTCGAAAACCAGATGTAATAGATAAAATTTCGAGGCAGCATTCGGATTCAGCGCTGATCAACCCTTTAGAAATCAATTTTAAAAGTGTCATAATATATATGAACACTATGACACAAATGAATGTGAGGTGCAGAATGGTTAAAAAAAATTCTCGAAAAAGGTAATGGGAAAATTCCTGAAAAATATAAATTTAGTAATAAACATAAAATTTTACCAATTTTGGTAGTTTTTTCTTAATTTCAATTTAAACAATATTTAAGTTTTTTAAAATCTTATGGAAAATTAAAGAATAACTGTAATATTTATAAGTGGATTTAATCCGCTAATAAAAAAACAACTTTTCTGATTAAATTCTCACCAAAACATTTAACAAAATGTTGATAAACTCAAAAAAACCATGTTGCTTACCAAACAACCAAACCATGTGCAAAATTTCAAAATAATTTAATACTTTTTATAACTAGAAGTATTAAACATTATCTTAACAAGAATTTAAGCGTTAATACTGTTGTTTATAAAAGTCAAAATAAAATATATATTTATAAATCAGTTAGGAATTTAAATAAAGTTAGGTTTATAACTTTAATGGTTTAAAAAAAAATAGATAAACTATTTTAAAATTTATAAATTTAGATAAAAAAAAAAAATTATACATAATATTTGTTTTATCTCACATTATCTTTAAAACATAAACTGCCAAAAATACTTAATTATTTTATTAGCTACTACTTGTCAGTTGTTTGTTTAATAAACAATTAAACAATTTTTCATGGTTATTTTTAATGTTTTTTTTTTTTTTTTTTTTGTCAAACAAGTTCATGAAAAGTTGAGTTAGTAGGCTCAGTAGTTGAGTGTAAGTTTGGGGGTTTGCACGTTTTTATTTTCCTTTTCGAGTTGTCTTTTCTTAAAACGGGTAAGATTTGTTTTATTTAATTTATATAAAAAGAAAATATTTTTAATTAAGTAATATTTTTTATTTATCTTTTTTTCATTTTACTATAAACACGCTTTTAAGCAAAACAATATAATGCAATATTTGTATAGAAATAAATGTTTTGTGTATTAATTGTAAAATACAAAATGCTAATGATAAGAAATTTCCTTATTTTAATTGAAATTTATTTCAAATTTAATCTCATCATTTAAACAAGAAAAAAAGTGGGCCAAGGCGGTCACGTCAATATTAAAATTGTAAAAAATTGTTATGAAATCGGTTTCGAATAATGTATAGAAGTATATTTTTAATAGTTAATTATTAAAACATTTAGACACCAAATTATACTTTAATCTGAAGGAATGAACTTCGCTAAAAGCGAATTTGGCATTAGAATTTCACAATCACTTCAGGTTTTCGAGATATAATGTCCTACATTATGATAATAATGATTTTAAATGAAAATATTTTGAGAAAAGAACTTTGATTCTTCAAAAGAATTACAATTCAAAATGAAAACATTTTCGAAAATATTTTTTTGAAAAGAGTCACGATTCATAATGAAAACATTCTTA